GCCTGCCTGCCTGCCTGCCTGCCTGCCTGCCTGCCTGCCTGCCTGCCTGCCTGCCTGCCTGCCTGCCTGCCTGCCTGCCTGCCTGCCTGGTGGCCACGCGAGCAGGCCGGTCCACCATCGAGATCCGGATCCGAGCCGAGGCTGGCCTGGCCCCGCAATCAACGCGTCGGCCACCGTGGGCAGGCCAGCGGGGACGCGTTGGTCTGGCTGACAGCAGCACCGGCAAAGCAGTGCCCAGACCGAGACAAACCGTCTGGCGGGGCACAAGCAAGAGAGCCAGCCCGCGTTGACCCTTTTTCGCCTCCGCCACTGTGCGGGCCCGTCGGCGCTGGTACCATTGCCTTGCCTTGCCTCGTACCCTGAGCTTCTTCTCGCCCCCCGCACTCCATCATCGCCGTTCTTCCCCTGTCCCCCATCCCTCTCCCCATCCCCATCGCATTATTGCTGCCTCGCCTTCTCTCTGCTTGATCTTCCCTCCTCCTCTTCCCCGTCCCTCGGCCCCCTTCGCCATTGCCTCGTTTCATCTATTCTCGCCCACGCACTTGCCCTTCCGCCCGAACTCTGCACCCGACCCCGGCCCGCACCGCTCCGTCTCAATCGTCACTCGGATCTGCCTCGGACGTTGACCTTCGATCCGACGCTTTTCCGCTCCATTGCCCCTGCGACCCATTGCACCATCGACTCGAGCCGACGCACCCTCGCTCCATTGCCCGTGCGCCTCGGTCCCAGCATTCACTCGATCCGACGCACCTCCGCTCCATTGCCATCGCACCTGCTCTAGCATCGACTCGATCCTCCTCGACACTTGACCCACCATCACAGCACCGCCCAAGCTCCCCGCACCCCACTCGCTCACGCCCACCACCGCCCACCATGGCGCCCACCGCTGACAACGACGACAAGGAGCTCCTGCGCGCCGCCGCACAGGCAGACGGCAATGCAGAATCCAGCGGTGCCGAAAACACACCCGACCGCCGCGATCGCAAGCCCACTGCGTCCAGCCAAAAGCCCGAAGAGGACCCCGCCGTGCACGACGAGCGCATCAAGAAGCTCAAGTTCCTCCTCAAACGCAGCGGCGTATACTCGCGCATCATGGGCGAGAAAATGGAAAAGGAGCGCAAGGCGAGGGCAGAGGCCGCCGCAAAGGAAGCAGCAAAGCAGCAACGCCGCGACACGGCACAGCCGCCAAAGGGCTCAACCAAGGGGCAGTCGAAAAAGGAGCGTGATCAGGCCGGCGCACCAAACGCATCCTCAGCGACCACGACGCGGAGATCCACGCGGCACGGCGACGCTGCGGCAGAGGACGCCGCCACCTCTTCCGCCACGACGAGGTCCAGGCGCGGCGGCGGCGCGGAGGCCAACAAGAAGCGCAAGGCCGAGGGCTACGACGTCAGTGCCTACCTCGACGAACAGGACCTCGAGCAGGCAGGCTCCGAGGACCCGGCCAAGAAGCAAAAGAAAAACGACGGCAGCGCCGCCGCAAAGGCCACGGGCACGGGCAGCGACGACCCGGCGGCCAAGGTCCAGGCCGAAGCGGCCGAGGCCGAGGCGCACGCCGCACAAGAGGGCCGCGACGTCGATGTCAACGGCGATGGCGACGACGACGGCGATGGCGAGTCCAAGGAAAAGGACCACCGCACGCAGCCCAAGCTCGTCACGGGCGCCACGATGCGCGACTACCAGCTCGACGGCCTCGAGTGGCTAGTCAGCCTCTACGAAAACGGCCTCAACGGCATCCTGGCCGACGAAATGGGCCTCGGCAAGACGCTCCAGACCATCTCGTTTCTGGCCCACCTGCGCGGCAAAAACGTGTGGGGCCCCTTTCTGATTGTCGCGCCCCTCTCGACGATCAACAACTGGGTGCTCGAGTTCCGACGGTTCACGCCCGACATCCCCGTCATCATGTACCACGGCACCGGCGACGAGCGGCGCGAGATGCGGCGCACCTACCTCCAGACGCCCACGATCCGCAGCGAGCAGCTCCTCTTCCCCGTCGTCGTCACCAGCTACGAGGTCATCATCCGCGACCGCGCCCACCTGGCCAACCACCCGTGGAAGTTTATCGTCGTCGACGAGGGCCACCGCCTCAAGAACCTCAACTGCCGCCTCGTCCGCGAGCTCAAGGCCTTCAAGAGCGCCAACCGCCTCATCCTCACCGGCACCCCGCTCCACAACAACCTCGCCGAGCTGTGGTCGCTGCTCAACTTTATCCTGCCCGACATCTTTGACGACCTGGCCACCTTCGAAGCGTGGTTCGACTTTTCCGACATCCACGAGGACGGCGCCAACCGCATCCTGACCAAGATGGACTCGGCCAACATCATCACGCAGCTCCACGAGATCCTCAAGCCCTTCCTGCTGCGCCGCCTCAAGGCCGACGTCGAGGCCAACCTGCCGCCCAAGAAGGAGTACCTCCTCTACGCGCCCCTCACCCGGATGCAAAAGGACCTCTACGACAGCATCGTCCGCCGCGACATCCGCAAGTCGCTCCTCGTCCGCAAGACGGGCCTCGAGTGGGACGAGATCCAGGAGATCCTCGACGACCCGGACGGCACCAACACCCGACCACGGCCACGGCCACCCGCGAGAGCAGCCGCGCCGCCTCGCCCAAGACCGCCGGCGGTCGCGCCAAGGCCAAGGGCAACGGCCACGCCAATGGCAACGGCAATGGCCACGCCGC